GGGGGGCCAGGATTATGCGGCCTCTTTCCTCGCCTGGATCTGAAGAGACTTTAGCGGGAGAATGAAGATTAAAGGAGCGCCACCGGAGAATTAGAAATGGAACTGGAGATACGCGACGCAGAATGTAGACGGGTCGGAGGAATCCGATGAAGGGGGGGGGCGATAAGGAGACAATACCCGCGGGGAGAGCGCAACGGGAATAAAGATCTCAAAGTATAAGAAATACATCTTTTTTTTATATAAAGTTTTCAGACTCAAAAAAAAATGTAAATAATGTGCGTTTCGCGTTTTACGGCCCATTACCACAAAGTGCGCCCATGCCGGGCGGTCTGTGCATTGCATTTAGTTAGAACGGCACTCCAAGGCGCAGCTACATCAGCAGGCATGGCACCAAGGGAAAAAAAAAGGGGGCAAGTGGGTTTTTAGGCCATTGCACCTGTGTTGGCGGTCCTTTCAAATGACTAGGCCAAGATGTTGACACGCGTGTGGTATTGCAAAGATCTGAAGGGGGCCTGAGGCTTCATAAACCTCCTTCCTGTGTATTGTGCATGTAGCCCTCACACCCGAAGGAGTCGCTGGTTGCCCGGTTCATCTCTAGTCTGTCTAGGGCTGGGATGGCCAAACTCCGGCCCTCCAGCTGTGGGGTGAAACTACAAATCACATGAAGCATCTCCCTCCGGGGGTCATGTCTGTGGCTGTGAGAATCTTGCAAAGCCTCATGGGATTCGTAGTTCCACCCACAGCTGGAGGGACGCAGATTGGCCATCCCTGGTCTAGTTTTTGTTCTTCAGCTGCCCACCCATTAGCACTAACCGTCCATGTTGGAGGCCTCGGGGAAACATTTCCCTCACACCAGCCCATGCCCACCCCCAGTCCTTAGGCCTAGCCCGGGGGGGAGGGAGGGAGGGGGGGGGCAGGCTGAACGGCAACCAGCACTATTCCACGGCCGGTCCCAGCTAGTCTGAGCACATGGCAAATCCCTCCAGTATATGTGCCCTATCCCAGCATGCACCACTGGCTGAGAGATGCCCAGTGATTGGCTGCTGTACTGTACATACACTACAGTGCCTCTCATTGGCTGTCCCACAATATGACAGAGTCACACTCCACCCATTGGGGTACAGGCAATGCCGGACACCTGGAATTAACCAGATAACTGCCACTATAATCCAGCCAGGCCGACTACAGCCCCGGCTACCACTAAATGTCTAGTAGCCACATCACAGAAGGTGACGGGGGCTAAATGTACAATTATATATGCAGGGGGCAGCCATAGCTACTCATGACATATGCAAATGTGCATATACATATAAATAGAAATATGGCGCAGCAAGAATAAAATATATAATGTCGCAGCAAAAGTAACTCAAAATAAGGAAAATACGCTCTCCTGCGCCCTCGGATATCTGTCTCTGCTCCGGGGAGTGATGTCCGGCCCGCACACTCGCTCGTTCCCTGTGCGGTGATCTGCTCTGCTGCATGGTTAGTGAACGGTGCGCGCTCCCGTTAATGTCAGGAATGGGATACGCTGCGCTGACCACTTTGAGTCACGGCTCTGTGCAGAGAACATGAGATGGTGAAATGGCTCGGCAACTACGGACCACCCAACTCAGATGGACGATTCCCTGCAGTAGACCTTCACACAGCGGATAGGTAGGCCCCCCTGGACACCCTGACTCTTGGGGCCATCACCACCCACTATAGAATAAATCCAAGCCATAAGACAAGTGTAATTTGCCCCAATGGTCACTATTTTTGGACGGGTGACTTTTTTCAGCTCTTAATGGTGTCACTGCTGGTAATAACGGCTGTTATATCTTAGGGGTCAGGATAAGTTTACCATTAGTCCCAGTTTCCCAGGGACAGTCCCTGCCTTGAGAGTTCTGTACCTGGGAAACAAACGTCCCCAGTGGCAGTTAACTGCAGTTATATACAGCCAGTTGTGTACATGCTGTGATGGCTGCCTCTAAGACTCTGCGTGTC